TTTTTTTTTAACTTCTGTTGGCAGTACAGAATTTAAAACAATGAATGAAATATTTAATTTAAGCACAAAACATTTGCCTCATTTTAAGGCTCCCACATACAGTTTTATATTTAAATATTGTTATTACTTTCTTGATAGCTGGAAGCCTGAGAAAATTATGGCAGTTTTCAGAGTTCATTTTATGGTTATTATAAATAGATTATCTGAATATACATGAAAGAACAAAACCCTATCATTTTTATTCTTAAATATAAAATTTATTTTTCACTGTAAAACAAAATCATGTTATTGAAATATAAAGAACAAAACTACTACTCATAAGGGCCGGCCAAGTGGCGTGCTGGTTAAGAGCTGGCTTGGGATGCCAGAGGGCCCTGGTTCGGATCCCATATATGAGGGCCAGTGACACTGCCCTCTACAGCTAAGACGCTGAACAACAGCTCAACCTGGAGCTGGGCTGCCATGAGTTGCCTGCGACGGCGTAGGCTGCAGTGGGTTGCCACGGGCTACCGTGTGTAGCCAGCAGCCAGCATGAGTGGCCAACAGCCGCAGTGAGCGGCTGTCCAGAAGCCGGCGACTGATCTGCCTCGCCTGGGAAGAGCGCAGTGATGGTGCCAACTTGGGCCAGTGAAGCAACGTCCTCCACAACTAGACTGAAGAACAAAAGGACAGCGACTTGTCTGTTCCCCTTCCCCCAATTCCCCAGCACTGTTTCCATCCCCCAATTCCCCAATAAAAATCTCTAAAAAAAAAAACCACTCATAATTCCTACTCCCTTGGCAACTGTTAGCATCTTTATGTATTTTCTTCTAGCACATTTTTCTAAGAAGTTGTTTATAGAATTATAACCATAGTTTACATATTTAATAATTTATTCATTTAATACAGATTTACTTTGGACCTATTATGTGCCAAGCATTGTGCTTGGCTGCTGAGGACATAGTGACATACAGGGCAGACAGGTCCCTGCCCTCAGAACTTGCAGTCCAACAATTAGACAAGTAACTACAATCCAATATGTATGTTTGTGTGTTTTACTAATCATGAGTAGCTTCCATAATTTTAGCATATGTCTACAAATAACCAATAAATGATCAAGTTGACAAATTTTTTTTATAGATATGTAAATATATCTTACATGGAGATCACAAGTTGATAGATATATCTATTATCTCACATAGCTATTAAACACACAAACCCTAACATTCCATAATACTGCCAACTCTGTAAACCTTCAGAATAGCAGCATTTTCTTACATCCTCCATTTATAGAAAATTCTACCCTTACTACAAAAAGAAGTATCATAGGAATTCACATACCCTGAAGATATCTGACCTCTGCATTAATGCCATCAGGGAGAGGTACCCTCCATAGGACCAGCCATGGATACCCACACGATCTAAGTCAATGAAATCGTATCGAGAAGCTAGATACTGGAGTCCTTCCACCTGGTCATCAATTTCTATTTGACCCTGTGAAAAAAGGGAGAAAATTTCACAGATTCTGATGAATGAAAGTCTCATTATAAGAATGCTTTTAAAGCTAATAAATGTTTTTACTAAAAGTATCTGTAGTTTTTTAGTTTAGAATTCATTATCAATTAAGATTCTGTTGCCTGAAAAACATTTTTTTAACTCTATTTGGAGATAGGGGCCTTTGTTGCTAGCCTGCCCTAGAGTTAGTTATCCCTTAGTCATGAAGTTCTTTTCTACTGCAACTCAAACTGTCCCTTGTCATATGGGTATTTCCCATTTCCATTTATTTGTTCTGTTGTCTGCTAAGAGGTCAGCATCTTCCTTGTAACAAGCCTTCCCATACCCAAAGACAAAAAAATTAGCCCTTACATGGCTAATTTTACTTCTTTTTAAAACGTAATACAGTAAAGTAGAAGGAATCACTCTTGAGGCCTTATCCTCCTATTTCCCCATGATCTACCTCTAGGAACTAAACATACTATTTATTTAAGGTCCTATTAAGTCCTAATTCCTACCACCACCACCCTGTCTGTATTACTAGGCCTGCCAGTGCACACAATCTCACTTCACTGAACCAAAAACAAAAATAAAAACAAAAAAACTTACATGAGAATACAACATAAGGTCAAAGAACTGGCTGTGGGAGAAAATCCCCATGTCTTACTCAGCATGTCCAATACACTGGCAAATGCAGTAACTGCCTTACTGTGCAAAAGGAACATCGGATTCTCATCTTTTCCCAAAGCAGCAGAAAGGACATGGGGCATCTCTAAAAGGTAGCATTTAAAGCTTCCTGTAGAGAGAAAGAGGCTTGTCACAAGGAAGGCACTAACCAGTTAGTTTCTCTCTTCACAGAGGACAGAACAAATTTCAAGTATTCCTCTCAATAGTGTACAGGATGCTGAAAGCTAAATGGTGCTGCCTTATGGCTAACCTGGACACACAAATAGAAAGAGAGGGTATTTCTATGTAAAAGTGGTTCTAGCTCAGCTCTCCAAAGTTACATACAGGTAGACATGAGTTAGACTAATGAATATCAAGTTGCATCTTCCCGCTCACCCCCAAACTCTAACTCTCTCTCAACTCCTTCCCCCAACTCTGTCTCTGGGATTTCACATCAAATAATGCACCAAAAAATGTCTTTAAAAGAAAAACGTTTGTATGTTCACACACCATTTTATATTTAAAGGCGCCTTCAAATTTCAGCCCTCGGTGACAGGATCCCCTGTTGTCTATCACTACAACCACATAACCCAGAGAAGCTAGAGTATTCAAACGGAAATACTTGACTCCTTTAAACCGATTATTCACCAACTGCACCTGAGGAAGAAATACAACTTCAGTGAAATTTATTATATGGTAGCATACAAAAACATGAGAGGCAGGACACTGCGAAAAGTACAAAGCTTAAATGTTTTATATTATATTGCCTTTAAAATGACATTTTATTTTCTTGTGGCAAGAACATTTAACATGAGATCTACCCTCTTAACAAAGTTTTAAGTGTATACGACAGTATCGTTAAATGTAGGACAATGCTGTGCAGAAGCTCTCTAGAGCTTATTCATCTTGCATAATTGAGATTTTATGTCCACTGATTAGCCACTCTTCACCATCCCCGTTTGTTTTTAAATTAAATTAAATCTTTTCATGTTCACGTTGCTTTTTTTTCTTCTTCCCTATGTGGGATGGTTGATCTAAAGCCTGCAGGGAGCAAGCAGGCCCCAGACTGCTCCAAGTCCATATTTCTCTGCCTCCAATTCTTACGTGTCCCAAGACGGGGAACTACAGACACGCCTTTGTAGGAGGGTACTTCTTTTCTATCTTCACACTTAATTCAGGGCAATCACTGAGCAACTCTAGACTTTACAACTATAACCTAGATATTAACTACATACAAGAGATTTAACCTACCCCATAGAAAGTTACTAAAATGATTACTTCTACCCTGAAGAAGAATTGTGTGATTCAAATGACAGAGACAAAGATAAACAGATCATTTTTCTTTCCTGCTCATCTCTTCTGGGGTTGTCTCTGACCAGTAACGGGAAAACTTAGAATTTAATGGAACACTATGATTCGTCCACCTTCATTTTTTCTGTTACACAAATCAGTACAAAAGGTAGAATAATTCTTATATCACTTAATCGCCCTAGAAACTATACTTCAAAATGACCAGGAAATTAAGTGTTTAGTGCTTCACCAGAAATAAACTATCTAGTGAAAAGAGGACTTTTGTTAGTGGGCAGAGCACTACAGAAGTTCAAGGTTTGGTGGACACTAAGATAGATAATAAACAACAAAAACAAAGTTCTGGCAAAAATGAGAATGAAGTTTTCTCTGGCTGAAACCAATGGAAAAACCAAGTCAGCCAAGAGTTAAATAAGAATTGATACTAACTTCACTCAATAAATAGGTACTGAGCATTTACTGCGCTAGACTGGGAGGTGGCAGTGTAGAGAATCTTCTCTTTTTGAACTTTTGGATGTTAATACCACTGTAACTACTGTCAAACTAGTCTTCCAGTTTCTATTCTTGTCATCTTATAGTCTGCTCACACGGTAGCAGTGATGTTTTAAAAATGTAAGTCAGATAAGATTTTGTAGCTTAGTTCCCTCCAATGGTAAGGAGTTCAGATCAGAATAAGATCTAAACTCCTTCCTTGCCATTGCCTTTGAGATCCCACACTGTCTCACGCTTGGCAATTTCTCTGACCTCATCTCATACCACTTCCTCCCTTTTACGCACTATATCCTAACCTTATTATCAACTATATCAAGTTGATTCTAACCCTACGACCTTGACCTTGACTGGTCCCGCTGTCTGAAATGCTCTTCCTTCCAATCTTTAACATGGCTCATACCTTCTTATCCTCTATACCCTCAGAGACCTTCCCTGACCTTCCTATCAGAACTTCCATTTTAGTCACTCACTTTGCCATCCTCTTTCCCACCAATAATTCATAGTACTTTCATTATTTGAAGTTATATATTTTTTTGTCTACTTATTGTTTTCCTCATTGAGCTCCACAGTGTGGCACATCAGTCTGATTTGTTCACTGTGGTATCCTCACCACCTAGAAAAGTACCTAATGCATAACAGAAACTCAATTAACTATTTGCTAAATGAATGAATGAATGAAAAATACAGCTGGGAGGAGGGGTTTGGTGGGCAACGGTGTTTTGTTTTATTATTTTGTTTTTAAATGAAGGGAAGGAGTTCAAAAAAGAAGTACCAGGCAAAGAAGAACACAAATATGGGCATGTAAAGAAAACTACCTCACTTCTTTACCTGTTGTCAGGCACAGAAGATGATCTCAAATGCCTGATATAAACATTTTCTCCCAGAGCCAGTGTTTCTGTCTTTGCAGCCTGGAGGTGTGCTAGTTCTGGAAGAAGTTACTTAAACATAATGCCCTCGGGCACTGAGAAGTCAAAAGTCTGTTTCACAATCAATTCTTCAAAACCTGTGTCCTGCTATCACCTAGCCTGCTCTTTTGTGCATTTACATTTGCAGAACAGTGTCTGGCACATAGAAAGCACTGTAAATGCTTGTTAAATAAAAACATTTTTAAACATAGAAGTGTTACCAATAAAGAGTTTAAAGAACTAAGCCTTAATGATTTTAATGAGAAATATTTGCTACTCTTGGATTTCACTTTTGTTCAACTACAGACATTGTTGTCACAGTAATGGACCTCATGTTATGAACTGTGACACTTTCACCTGAATATACAACCAAGAACATGGTTTGGACCACTTACAACGACATAATCAAATTTCACAAGGCCATTGTGTGCCATTAGAAAGACCTGGCCTTACATTAAGGAGCCTCTTCATAATTAACCCAAATGGGGTCATCAAACAAGAGGATGACCTGATCTCCCAGTGGGCTGAAGAGCCAGAGGCATTCTATCATACAAAGTTTCCTGGAGAAATCTTGCAAACTGAACACCAGATTCTCCTATGACATCACCAAATTTGAATGTTTCTAAAGAATACTTTGAGAAAGAAATTGTTTCTTTAAGTGCAAAAAAGTACAGTACAGTTGTGTTCATAAAGTACTCCAGACAATTAAACAATTTTGTTTTAATTGCATTAGCTAATACTTTTTTATTATGGTAAAATATACATAACATAAAATTTACCATTTCAAACATTTTAAGAGTACAGTTCAGCGGCATTAAGTACATTCACACTGTTGTGCAACAATTACCACTACTCATTTCCAGATTTCATCATCCCAAACAGAAACTCTGTTATTAAACAATAACTCCCTATTCCTTCCTCATTTCTGGGCAACTTCTATTCTACTTTCTGTTCCTATGAATTCGCTTATTCTATGTACCTCTATGTATTTGTCCTTTTGTGTCTGTCTTATTTAACTTAGCACAATGTCCTCAAGGTTCATCTATGTTGTAGCATGTGTCAGAATTTCTTCTTTTAAAGCTACATAACATTCTATTATATACCACATTTTGATTACCAATTCATCTATCAATGGACATTTGGATTGCTTCTACCTTTTGCCTACTGGGAGAAATGCTACAATTAACACTGGTGTGCAAGTGTCTGTTAAAGTCTCTGCTTTCAATTCTTTTGGGTATACACCCAGAAATGGAATTGCTAGATCAGAATGCAATTATGTTTAACTTTTTGAAGAACTGCCTTATTGTTTTCCATAGCAACTGAACCATTTCACATCCCCATGAGAAATGCATCAGTTCTAATTTCTCCATATCCTTGCCAACATTTGTTATTTTCCTTTTTTTGTAAAAAAAAATAGCTATCCTAATGGGTATGAAGTGGTATCTCACTGTGGTTTTGATTTGCATTTCCCTAATGACTGATGATACTGAGTATCTTCTCATTTGGCATAGACTTTTTTTTTTAAAGATTTTTATTGGGGAATTGGGAGAAGGGGAACAGACAAGTTGCTATCCTTTTGTTCTTCAGTCTAGTTGTGGAGGACATTGCTTCACTGGCCCAAGTTGGCACCATCATTGCGCTCTTCC